TTGAAAGGTCAAAATGGCATTTATTTACTCTGTTTAAAATTATACCTTAACCTATGGAATAAGAATAGACACTTAGTTAGAATTAGTATAGACACACCTAGTCCTAGCCATTTCCCCTGTTTAGTTTTCCTGGGAGGAGACAAGACCCAGGCCATAGCTTTCTTTTTGTGTTATACAAATCTATATCTGTGATGGGGCTTCTTTTTCGGCAGGAGCCAGGCACCAGTCTTCTGTCTTTCTGATTTAGGGAATGCATTTCAAAGCTCCTAGTGGTTTCCTTGAAGTGCCACTAGTCTGGAGGTAGAGGGAATATCCCCCCCGCCGCCCCAACCCTCAAAGAGAGGTGTCATAGGGACTTGAAGCAGGGATCTCTAACATTTTTTTCCTTAATCTTTCCTTCCCATCTCTGCTGCCTCTTGGCCTGAGGGATTGGAGTCCCAGAGCACGTTCTCAGCACCACTTTTCATTCTTTGAGCTTATGTTACCCTTACACACACATATATACACATCTCCTTTCACTTTTGCTATTCATCGGCACCATACGGTTTTTTCCCTTTTCCAAGCCTGAAAATACTACCAAAATAAGCACAACATTTAGTGGTTTGGAGACAGATTTAGATACATACGGGTAGAACTACGTTTTTTTAAAAGATGCTATAAAATTGGACCTGGGGAAAGGGATGTTTTAGACCCGAGAGAAAAAGAGTTAACAAATGTGATACTTCAAAGTGTGACAGAGCAGAAGGATTTTCTACTCCAGTGACCAAGTAGAATGGAGGGATACTGTGCCCAGCTGTCCTTGGTGGGACTGCCCACGTGTGTTCCCTGCAGACCACAGACCCAGACAGTTCTAAGTGTCTTTGAGGGAGGAAGGAGACAGTGTGGTGGAGATGAGAGTGTGAGGAGATTTAGTCCTCTGGCTAAAATGGAACCCCACGGACCACGTTAGGAATTTCCCTAGGGCAGTGGTGGAGATCCTCCAACTGTTTCAGACATGTGCACGAATCTACATGCATTTAGCTTTGGCTGAGAACAGGGAGGGTTTCAGTGACAGAATAATGAGACTTGGCTGTAATTTTAAAAAGTATTTAATGTAGGCCTCTACATATGAGATGTTAGTCTTGTTGTAAAAAGTAACTGATAGTCAACCTTATTTTTTAAACAATATGCAGAGAATTATTTTATTACTTTGATTTTAACTATAACAAATACAGACACATTTTTTTATTGTTGTTCACGTAAAGATGTCTCCATTCCTCACTCCACTCCCCCCAACCCCAGCCATCCCCACCTCCCACCCCTGCTCCCACCCCCCTTGGTTTTGTCCATGTGTCCTTTATAGTTGTTCCTGAAAACCCTTCCCCCTTTCCCTCCCATTATTCCCTCCCACCTCCCCTCTGATTACTGTCAGTTTGTTCTTCATTTCAGTGTCTCTGGTTATATTTTCCTTGTTTGTTTTGTTGATTAGGTTCCACTTACAGGTGAGATCATATAGTATTTTGTCTTTTACCACCTGGCTTATTTCACATAGTGTAATGTTCTCCAGTTCCATCCATGCTGTCACAAAGGGTAGGAGTTCCTTCCTTATTTCTGCTGTGTAGTATTACATTGTGTACATTTTGAGTGCAGTATTTTCTCAGGGACAGGTCTGAGGGGCTCATAGAAGAAAGAACATCTTTGACTCACTCAGTACTTACTTGAGTGCCTGCACTGGGTATTGGGTATCAGGTACTGGCCTAGGTGCACCAGTAAGCATAATCTATAACTGCCATCTCCTGATGCTAGTTTTCACTTTTTATGTAAATGTTTCTCATACTTTCGCAGTCATCGAAATTACTTAAAGAACCTATTAAAACACAGATCACTGGGCCCCATTCCCAGAGTTTCTGTCTTGGAAGAGTTGGGGTAGAGACTAAAAGTCTTCATTTCTGACAAGATTTCATGTGACACTGATGCCTCTGGTCTGGGGACTAGTCTTTGAGAACTGTACTTATGGCTTATCTTGAATTTAGTACAGGGAAAGGTAGAGAAAAATTTTGTTAATGGCAAAGTAAGGTTTTCTTAAGTGGATAATTATCTCTTATGACTTCAGTGATGGCTAGCATGTATTTTGTAGTCATAACAATGGAAAAATGGCATAGAAAATGGCAAAGCCCAATAAACAAAGTTTCCCTTTCATCACTATAGTCTGAGAATTATTTTAGACCTAAGGCAATTCATTGGGAGAAGTCTAAGCAGCACCAGGTCCTAAGTACTAAATAGTATGCTAGACCAAGGAAGTGCTAACGGATTACCAAGTTGAAAGTCAAGGTACCATTTTTTAACTTTATTTTTATTGTTGACACTATTAACAGATGCTCCCATCCCCCCTTTGCAACCCACCACTGCTTTTAATTGTGATAAAATATTCATATATAAAAAACTAGATAAAAATGAGATATTGTGTATCTTTTAGATAGGTTTATTTTGATAATAATAAAAGCATGATCATTGACATAGTTTAAAAATTCACAGTTTTAGTTTTGTCTGGCCAAGTATTTTGATGAAGTTAGAATTTAGTCTAAAAGTCATGGATTGGCAAGAACAATGTGGTGTGTGAAACCAGATTGGGAGTTTTATCCAATTTGGATAGAAGTTTGTAGTGACTTTCAGAGTTGGCATTAGAATTCTCTTAGACTAACTTCTTTCCTTAATACTAAATTTCTATCACCTGTGCCTGGCCAGTCCTCAAGTTCTCTCACATCTTCCTTGCAACAATAGCTCATATTTCATCATTTTGTACTTTTGTCTAGATCTTTACTTTCTCATAAAAATTCTCTAAGCTCATTTGACTCCTTTTCATCACAATTTGAAATGTCCCCCTATTGAACCTTAGACCAATCCAAAACCTTCCCAACATAAACATTTCTCTCTACGTTGGCTGCTTTTCCATGATAAATATGTAAATCTCTCCCATTCAAAAAACTGGTTATTTAACCAATCTCCTCTTGTCAAATATTGAAGTTGTTAACCGATCTTTTAGATTTGGTATCATATCCTGTTCATTTTTTTTCTTAATGAATTTAAGAGCTATGATTATGGCACATTCATGGATGGGATATACCCATCTAGTAAAATGATTGTTTAAATTGCAATGGAAAATGTTTGAAATGTTTTTGCATAAAAATATCTTTACACCAGACTATGTATAGCATATTTATGTATTAGTTACAAAAGGATATCTATGTAGCGAGCTAGCTATGGAAAGGTCAACTCTAGGTGGTTGGATTAGACTGGTATGTAATTTAGGATATTTTACAGTAAATATGCATCATCAGCACATTAAGAGTTATAAAGTACACAACAGAATAAAATGAAAATATGTCTATATTTGAAAGTGATTGCTATTAGGGAGTGGGATTTTGAATTTTTTTCTGCCTTCGTATACTTCAATTTTTTTATTCTGGTAACTAAATAGTGTTTAAATTTAGTATTAAGTTGCATTTAGTAGCACTAAATATTTAGTAGTTTTAAATAGTATTTACAGTTTGTATTACAGGGTATAAAATTAATGTTCATATAAGATTACATTTAGTTTATGGAAATATATGCCAGATCATATATAATTTTAGTAATATTTCTTTTCTGTGCAAATATTTCAGGGCTTGATTTTCCTAGTAACCAAAATTCAACGTTCTTAGCCTGGAAATCAAGCACTCCATAACTTAGGACCTACAGGTTCTTGTCTTTCGTTACCAGTGTTTTGCCTCAACAGTATTTCCATGTTCTTGGACGGAGTCCCCACTCTTTTGTGCTTCACTGTTTCCTGGCTCTCCTTGACCTCGCCTTTCAGCATGTCCCCACTCACCTTTCCTCCAAGGCCTCGGTTCCCACCTGATCTGTGCCTTGTTTTTCTTATTTGAAAAGTTGAGGAAAATGGTATTTAGTATTGCTAAGAATTCAGTGAGACAATTATATAAAAAATACAGATAATCTGATATAACATCAAATGCAGTGGTTTAGCTAAAAAGAGATTGTTTTCCCACCATGGATGTCTTGCGGTGAACATTTGAGGGCTGAAAGGGAAGCTTTGACAATTTCAGCACAGAGCTTCCTTTGCTAAGACATGTGCTCGAGTTGTCCCAGACAACAAAAAGGGGAAAAAAGGAAGTAAGCTCTGGGGTTGAATCCAGATGACCAACTCCCATGCCACTGACCAACATTTAGTCCTGTAATCACAGTTAGCTGCAAAGGAGTCTGGGTGGTTAAGTCTCAGCTGTGTGCTCTAGTGAAATTCAGAGGGAGGGTCCTTTTAATAAAGGGGAGGGAAAGATAAACAATATTAGTAATAAAATCAGGATTCTGACCCTCGAAGACTGTAACGCACACCCAACTTCGATGAATTCCAAAATGAAGACCTTGTGAGACCAGCTGATAGCTTCCCTCTGATCTCTCCAGAGCCATTCTTCTATCTATAGATTTGCTTCACATACTTTTCCTTCAAACTGTTAAAACTCCTAAAGGACAGGGAATCTGTCTACATGTCTTACTCAAATTTTAATATGTCCCCTCATCTGCTTTTCTCTCCCCTGTAGGTTAAATAAAAAAATGTCACATCATAGGGGTATTCCACAAATTTCTATAGTTTAAATATGGCTCTAGAGGATGTGTGATTGAAGTTTATAAACACGCTATATTTTTATCAAGGTGCTGATAGAAGTCTCTGGCTGATATAAAAAGCCTGATTTACCTTTCAGGTACTTTTTCAGTTTTTTTGTGATTAGGATATGCATTCTGCTTCCTTCATTGGGCAGCAGTCAAAAGGCAAATAGAGCGATTAGGATGGCCCCACACCTTGTCATTGGCCCTACAACTTTCTAGAAATAATAGTTTTGGAATTATGTAATGTCCTCTACCAATGACAACATATGGATGTCATTACTTTTCCTCGTGTGGCAATGTGCTGTCATCTGGCAGCTCTGAGGATCATGGAAAACACAATGGTAAATCAAGGAGAATTCTTAGATTTTTGCGTTTTTATTTTAAAACAAAATTTTATAGTGATTAACACCTACTTTTAAACAGAATGATGCATTAATTAAATGCCTTGTCATAACTATTATAAGCTCCATTAGAAAAATAGACATCTCACAACTACAGCATCAGCTCTTTAATAAATACATAATACAGCAGTTAGTAGTCAGTCAGAATTATTTGAACAGTTTTGTAGTATATTATATGAAATCATCATACCCCCCAATCTTCTGTGTCCTTTAAGGAGGTTTAATTCTATGTATAATTCAAACCCAGAAATAACAAGACACTTGTTTAATGAGAATTTGTTTCTTAGAGCTATCTTATATTCAAATATTTTAACTTAAAAATACACACTATGTTAAAAAATTTTTACAAAGGCAAAACTTGTTAAATGAAACAAATAAGGTTATATTACTGATAATTTAAAAACATTTCTAAACATTTTTTCAGAGGTTTAAAAATGAAGTAGCTGGTAAATGTAAAATTATTTTAAAGTTATGTTAAATAGACACAAAATGAATTGCTATATTAATATGTGCACATTTATACTTTATTATAATTTAGAATTAAAATACTTTATATTCAATATTCTTAATAAAATTTATGTACCATACTTGTCACTGTGTGGAATTCTTGTCAAAATCACATTTATCTGTGTACAGTGTAAAGTTAGTAAAAGTTCTTTCTATAAATCACATTTTCCTTCCTTGGTGACTGCAGTTTTTTATTTTTTTAACTGTTGGGTTAAATACTTTAACTGAAGTAGGTTATAGAGGTTAGAAACGTGATTAATAGAGTTAGCTTACAAAGATAAGTTTTATGCAGGAGGGAATTTCAGGTAGATAAAAGAGTAGTGTTGTTACTCTCAGGTATTTCATTAACAGCTGCCCAGATAGCTGAACGATTGCTTCATATAATTAAAATAACTTAAATATGCAGTTTTATGAAACTTATTACATGGACTTGTAGGTAAATTAAGCAAAGCCAAAGAAGAAAAATCAATCAAAAGAACAGACATGTTAAGGAAGAATAAAAAAGTAGAAGGGCTCAAAGAGAAAGTACTTTTTCCAACAGCATTGATGGTTGTATCATATTTTCTCCTGTCACTGAAGTAACACGTGCAAGATGCTGCAAAATCTAATTATGATGTTTCCATGTAGTATTCTTCCACTCAATTCTGTTTAACAGCAAGATCATAATACAAAAGTATTCTTTACAAAGGAATAGAAAGAATAAAAAATTGTCAACAAAACTCATTCTTGTCAGTTAAGGTAGGGTTTGCAGAAATCATATCCACTAGCATAAATAGGAGGCCAAAAGCTTTCATAACATAAGGTCTGTAGGGCATGAGCTCATAATCAGGCTCCATGTTGAATCATATGTGATTCAGTTGTACTGAAAACTGGCTCATATGTTATCATAAATGACTTCTCAAATATTTGTAAGAAAGGAATGTCCCTATGTCTATGAACATTTAGTTAAAAATTAATTAGTGTAATATTTATTTAAGCACAACTTCCAACACTGTATCTAACACACCAACAATTGCAAGATACAGCACAATTTCAGAGATGTTCTATCGAAAAGGGAGTTTTCTCAGAATCAATGAAACATGAACATATAATCAGTTGCCCATAGAGGAATTATTAAAGAAAAGGGAAATGATCTGAAAGCTAGTTCTACATTTCTTTGACAAGAAATACATTTCAATTTGCATTTCATGAAATGGATTTTTAAAGGTCAATATTGATAAGGACCATCATAAAATAAATGTTAAGAGCAAATAAAGCAATACAATATGCACATGCTTGAACTCCCAAGTAGCTGTATGTATTTCACTTGAAACTGTTACTAAAATAATGTCTTGAATCCTTTAAAACTGGATCTCTAACAATTGTGAAAATTTAAAAATTTTAATGGATCTGTCTTTGTTCAGGTGTATAGATTCAAATGAGTTTTAAAATCATTAAGAGATGTTTGGAAATGAAGAACTTTACTATACCATTACATTTCTTATTTTTCCACAATTAGGCTTATTGAGTTTCAAGTTTTAGTGTAATCCCTTAGGAAAACTGAGTAGAAAAAAACAGGAGTAAGGAATGGAAGTAAAAGCCACTGAGTTTAATTTGCTATATCAGGTACCTGGAGGAGTATATTCTACGGAGAAAAAATTTCATAGTTCTTCATAAAAATGTTTTGGTGTCTCATGGATGCCTGTTGTTATACATAAGAATATGTCCAATGGAGATTGAGTATATATTAGGAAATATTTGGAATTTATTCCTTAGTGAAGTATTGCATCTGATACATACACTAATTTTAATTTTGATGTTTGAAAAATCTGTAGAAAAAAATCTATTTTTGAATTCAAGTTTTTAAAATCTTTATTATCTAAGCTACATTGAACATTTAAGATATAATCAGGTTTTTAGCGAATTTCTGAGTCTTGCAGAGAATATGAAATCATAAATATTAACAAATTTTGTAAAAGATATCAAATGCTTATAAGTCCATGTGCACTGCAGTGTAAAGATGCCCTAGAGAAATAAAAGGCATGCAATTATATTGTAGTGTATGGATGGCACATTTCTAAGTCATTGCATACTTATGGGTGCAGAAGTGCTGTCGTACCAAAAGTGTTCAAGTTATTAACGTTGTTAACCATTTAAAATTCATGACTTGTGTTTAATATCAGTGAATCTGAAAAGGCTCCTGTGGACACATTGAAAATAGCCTCTATTTACAGATACTATTTAATCTAATAATACCCTGTTTTCCCTTACCTTTTAATTAATTCTAACTAGTCAAATATTAATTCTCTTCTCACAAACCACTACATAGGAACATACTGATTATTCAAGTACAATAGAAGCTCTAAAATCTTTAAGAATTAGATCCTTAAGTAAAACAGGAAAGCACATAGCAAGCATAACTTCAGTCATCATCCAGCGTTGAACTGCCCATCAGGAGGTTTGTCCTTTCCTGTGATGACAGCCTCGGTTCATTACAAATTAGTGCAAACCAGTGAGAGTGTAAAAAATATAAACCCTAGATGTTTAAGGGTTTCATTTTATTTTGCTTTTTTGGATAGATACTTCATTCCACATGAAAATTGTTTTATGAACATCATAATGTTCATTTCTAAGTTGTCAGCATTTTAATTAATGGATTTTCCCCACTTTTTCCTTTCGGGGGTCTGTCAGGTATCCATTTATTTTCCTTTTTAAAAGGATGCTGTGTGTGAGGCAGATAGCAAAATACGATTTTTACGTTATCCTTAGTGGTCAAGGGTGTCTTACACAAGTGAGTCACAGTACTGAATTATGTCAGTGTCCCCAGTCTCTCATTTGGGGAAGGAAATACAGTTTAACTTAGAGTCATAATTGCTTGGCTGGAGGGGACAGCTAATGGAGCTGCTGTGTTTGTTGGCTCCAGAACAACTTATTATATGTTTTAAAATGCTCTTCAGGGTAGAATATGGGGTGGGGAGTTAGTCTTCATTGAAATGCACTTTGATTAATTCAAGTGCTGAACTGTTAATAACTATAAGAAGACATGGTTGTCGGAGGCAAAGCTCAGTACTACTCACAGGACAGGTGGACTGAGCCTGTGGGCTGCGGTAATTGTGAAGAAGTTTCCACTGCGGCGGATGAAAGCTCACGATCTCTGTGTCCGTCTCCCAGCTTGAACTCTGCACAGGCTAAGGCGGGAACGGATTTCCCTGTAGTTAGTGCTTAGAAGCTGATTAGCAGGAAAGATTGGAAGCCAGTCATGGCCCGTTCAGTTTGAATGACTCTTTTCTGCTTTGCTTTGACATTTTCTTATGCCCATATACTTAAGACTTCAGTAAATCACATTTAAAGACATTTGCCAATTAGATATTTTAAAGACTCACGAGGTAGCATGATATTGTGCAATAAACACTAGCCTGGCAATAAGAGAAGTTTCCTTTGAATGCTGCCACGTAATGGCGGGGATGGCTTTTGAGAAATCGTTTAAACCTTCTGAGCCTTGATTGCCTGACTAACTAAAAGGATGAATGATCTTATTTCTAAGATGTTGTCTGTCTTCCTCCAATCACATACTTTAGAATTCTGGCAGTGAAGTTGAGGTGATACAGGGGAAGCATGTCCATAGGCTTCATCGAAAGGCAAAAATAATATAGCTTAATATAGCATTTAATTTGAAAATGCTGACATCTACTTGGAGTAAATATCTGAGAAAGCTCAGTCAAAAGTGTGGCAGTTTGCTTGAGGCAGAGTTTCTAAGTATCTTGTGCATTTTAACCTGATGATGAGACAAATGAAATGGTGAAACAGTCCATCCAGTTGACCAGGTAAGAAATAAAACTCCACATCTGCAAACAACGAAGCTGTTCAGGTTTTGATGTTACTTTACAGTGTCCCTTATTAAACATTCAGCTTTTAAAACCAGTATTCTAATAAAGTGACATTGTACTAATACGTTTTTATGGCAGTAGTAATTTAGCACTTATTTAATCCAGTCATCTGTGACATATATAAACTTATCCTGTAAGAAAGAAAACCAAACTATAAAAGCAAAGAGGAGAGAATGTTGGAATTAGTATCCATTTTGTAAAAAAAAAAAAGAAAAGAAAAGAAAAGAAACACACATGAATAAAACGACACAGTTTCAAAAGCAATATCCCTCAAGATGAAGGTTTCACCTGTTCAGCTCCTGAAAGAGTGAAACACTAACCATTTATTCATCTAGCTATTCTTGTCTGTTCACTGCCAAATGTTGAAGTGTTTGGCAACATTAGTATAATTGCCTTATTTTTTTTTTTCATTTGCACGTTCTGTGCAGGGATCACTGTACCCTTGCAGTGACACGATGCCAAAACTCTCGACAGCATTGTGTCTCTCTGGGAAGCGTAGGAACGGCAGGTACCTGTAAAGTGTAATCAGTGCTCTTCAGATGATCTACATTCTATGCTGATCTAAATAAGTTATATATTACAGTAAAGTGCTACAATGACACTAGTCTCAAACAGTAGTAAGACACATGTTTCTCGGAAAAAGTCAGCAGCGATGTGAGTCACATGACGATGAGGATGCTTGTCAGTCTTCATTCGAGTGAAAACCAGCAACTAGCACGATCTAGAACAATTTGTCTCCTCCTGTGACTTCTACAACTATAATTTTTAGGAGCAATTATTAAAAATCCAGTTTCCTGTAAAGTACTTTTTTATCTTTTTTAGAAGTTGCACCTGAAAGTTTCATGAGCATTTAATTTGCTGATATCCATTTTTATTTCTTCAGGTTTCTCACGTCGGTAGGTTACTGCTCTTGTGCAAACACTTTGCAGAATCAACTTGTCCTTGATGGAGAAGAAATATTATCATTAATTATCATACATATTGGAAGTAGGCAATCACATACTGGTAGTAATTCTTTTTTTAGAATTCACTGACCTTTTTTGAGGCCGACACCCTGTAATCTGCCGAGGACTTTATTTTGTTACTGTTCCACTGCAATATCACCTGTCTAATGATAAGGACTTTAAGCAACCCAATCAAGAATGTAACTATGAAAATGATGAAAAATATCCTCAAGTAGCTTGGGCTAGAGAAGCATTCTGTAATAAAGCAGACAAATAAATGGGTTAAAAAACTGGAATGAGCAAATCAAAGGATTCCAACAAGTAAACATCTCAATTAATAGGACCAGAGACATTTGCAAATCTACATTTCGAAAACAGAGGACTGCCATTACTATTGATTCAAAGAGTAACTCTCGATTTTTTATTACACATTTATTATTAAAATATTTCAACACAAAACTCCTCTTTGTAGAATAATCACAATGAAGGTATTTAATAAGAGTATTTTTTTTTTTTTTGCAGCTTGATTCCATAGTAGTATTAACTGGAATATATCCAAAGCCCTTAACCAAATATAACCATATCCATTACAGAGAGAGGGACAATTCTCATGGTGTATACCCTTGAGCACTAGTGGAAGATAGGATCTAAAAAAATGACTTAACAGCTCTCCTCATTAGTTTATGTTTCTCTTGTTGTGCTTGCTCTTCATTTGTTGCACACAGTAATGGAAGATAAAGTAAACATCTGCTGAGGCTAAAATCAGTACCACTCTAACAGAAGAGTAAATATTTCCTATGAGATTGCAGTGCAACTTTTCATGAGTATTACACATAGCTTCTCCAGGAAATAGGAGTGTCCAATTCAGGACAATATACAAATCTCTTTCCTCAGTTTTTATTTATTTATTTTTTACTTGTCTGTTAACCAAATCTTTTTTTTTTTTTTTTGTATCTAAGTATTCTACTTGCAGTTTTCAGAACTCATTTACTGGCTGGAAAAGGATATGCCGCATTGAGAGGAGGGGCATACTCTGTCTCTGCTTTAGCACTAGACTTTTGGCAAACTCTAGCTGGAAAGTCTACAGACTCTGTGGCTGCCAGGGGTATTATCCAAATCTAAGAGGAACAAGGTTGCACAATATGCAAGTATTCCACAGAACTTACCAGCTGTCCCAGACTCAAAAAATTACCTCCTGGCCTAAAGAGGCATCTGTTTTTTGCCTGTTCTCCAGACTTTGGGGACTTCACCTAAATGTCTGAAGGTCTCTCCCTGAGAGGGCCTTTGAGGAGGGGACCTGCCAAGATTTAGAAAAGCAATCACCCAATCGTGAGTGATTTGTGTCTGCATTATCAGGGATGATCAAGCATGCTTCTAAGTATGCCAAGAACTCAGTAATAAGGGCAAGGGCTCATCTCCAAGTGGGAAGACAGAGCCCAGTTTTCTTTTGGTCAATAATAAGATTCCTTGAAAGAAAGGCTAATGATAGGCTGGCGGACCACTAATTGGAATAGAAGCACCAAACACAAAATGCAAGTTTTCTTTTGTTATAGGTCTCTCACACACAGAGAATCCACGAGGCTCTATTCAAAGGTGATGACCTCAGAGTCTTTCACAGTGACCTAAAGTTTGTAACACGCACGCCTTTAATTCTGACAGGCTGTCATTTCCCTTGGCTGACTCAGAACTACTCAATCAGCTACGATCTTTATAGGGGGCATGTAGCTTGATCCCACTTACTGGCTCCTTGCCTAACAGAAGCTTAGCCAGAAAGAGCAAAGAACACCCTTTAAGTGTGATTGAGTGGATAGATAATAGAGGTGGCTAACAAATGCCCTTTCCCTCTCCTTGCACAATAGTTGTGAAGAGGAGGGGAGTCCCCTAGCTACCGATAACATTTTACTAACATTTCTAATAGGTTAGGATGGAGGACATTTTCAGGGCCCCAATCTGAGTGCCCTGGCCATGACTATCTTCTTAGTTCAGGTCAAGCAAGGGCTTTTCCTAAGGAGCTTTAATGGAAACTCTTTGTAACCATACTTAGGTCATAGTAGGTTTATTTACTTAACATAATAGAGGACATGTTGACAGTAAGGGCTCTATTTATTAGAAAAGGCACTTGGCTTTCTGGAGTGATTGCTACAGCCGCAGCTGGCAGCACATGGCTTTTTGCAGAGGCCAGTTCACTGGGGGCTAACATCAATATGGATTCTAGGGAAGAGGCAAACAACACTTTATGGAGAAAGTTTATTTTTTTGTGCACTCTCCCTAACGTTAGAATTGTTTTTACAGGTGAACATTTTCAGTGAAGACGTAATTTCAGATTCATGTGTATCTTAACACCTGACACTTGAGCATGGTGGAGTGCTGGCTTCTGGGTTCTCATTAATGAAATGGTCTTTGAACACTGCTGTCCCTCATTTATGTGTCAGTGTTTAAATTTACATAATTCTTTCATGTTGACTGGCTCATTTAATCGTACACAACTCTGAGATTGGTGTTACCATCTCCATTTTACAGGTGAAGAAACTGAGGCTCAGGGAAATATTGTAAGAGGCTGATAGTGTCAAGGGGCACGTCCTAGGCCAAGGTCTTCAGACTGAAAGTTCCATACCCTTCCCATTATGCCACTTTCATTATCATTCACCCCAAAATTTATTGATGTCAGAATCAAAAGTACCATGAAGGAATGGCCCTTTTTGAAGTTATGCACCTGGCAAAAACACATCATTGCTACTTAGAATTTTCTGGCTTCACCCAAAATATGAAAATGTTTGACACAAAGAAGTTTATAACTGAAGCCAGTTATGAAGGGTGATTATGGTGCCATAGATGTTTCTAATGGTGAAATGGACTCCACGTAGGAAACTCTTTGGCTCGCTGAGGTCTCTCTAGAAAATATGTTTGCTGTACTTCCATGGGGGTGCACAGCATGGAAACTGAGCTGGGTTGTTGAGATCCGAGATCTAACAATTCAGCCAACGATAGCAAACATACTCAGCTGGTTTTATAGAGTCCCATCTCCGGGAGATTGAAAACACTGAAGCAGTTAGTCCATTCTTTAGGATGGTTCGCTAGGACCCTTATGGGGGAACATGATTCTCTACAGATATGTTCTCAGTGCTTTGGTTATTAAGCTTTGGTGTACCTGATGTTTGGTCCATATAATGTTCCATGAAAGCACATGAGGATTTACACCGATCAAGTATTGCTTGAGACAGGTTGTGGGGGTGAAGGCATTGCATGCAATTCCTGAAAGGAGAAACAGAAGGGAAAACATACAGTCTTTACCAAGGTTATAGCCTGTAGTGTCTTCTATAAGAAATAAAATAAGATAGAATATTGCTTTAGTATAGCAGCCTTGTGGAACTGGGAAAGAAAGCTATGACACTTATTTTTAATCCTGGCTGAATTTAATACCATGGCAGAGTCACTTTCTATGCATTTAAAATAGTTTCATAATGTATAAAATCAAAATAATGATTTTTCTGCTTATGTTTTCATCTACGATTTTATGGTTGCGAGTCCTACATTTGAGCCTTTAATCCATTTTATGTTTATTTTTGTATATGGTGTGAGAAGGTGGTCTAGTTTCATTTTTTGCATATATCTGTCCAATTTTCCCACCAACATTTCTTGAATGTAGACTTTGTTTATCTTATTATGTGCTCTTGCCTCCTCTGCATATATTAATTGACCATATAGGCATGGTTTATTTCTGGGCTCTCTAGTCTGTTCCATTGTTCTATGTGTCTGTTTCTATACTAGTACCATCTTGTTTTGATTACCATAGCCTTGTAGTATAGTTTGATGGCAAGTAGCATGATACCTCCAACTTTGTCTCAAGATTGCTATGGCTATTTGTGGTTTTGGGGGTTTCCTAAACATTTTTGGACCATTTTTTTTGGTTCTGTGAAAAGTGAACTTTGGTATTTTGATAGGAATTGCCTTGAATCTGTTGATTGCTTTGGGTAGTATGGACATTTTAATAATGTTAATTCCTATCCATGAGCAGAGTATATTTGTATCTTCTTCTGATTTTTTCTTTCTTGAGTGTCATAATTTTCTGAGTACAGGTCTTTTATACCTCCTTGGTTAAATTTATCCCTCGGTACTTTAATTTTTTTGATGTGATTGTAAGTGGGATTGTTTTCTTAGTTTCCCTTTCTGGTAGTTCATTATTGGTATATGAAAATGCAACTAATTTCTGACTTAGAGGGTAGAGTATTATGCTAAATTAAATAAATCAGTCAGATAAAGACAAATACCATATGATTTCACTTATACGTGGAATCTAAAGAATAAAACAAACACACACACAAAACAGAAACAGACTCATAGATACAGAGAACAGACTGATGGTTGCCAGAAGGGAGGGGAATTGGGGGACTGGGTGAAAAAAGTGAAGGGATTAAGAAGTACAGACTGGTTGTTACAAAATAGTCACAGGGAAGTAAAGTACAGCACAGGGAATATAGTCAATAATATTGTAATAACTATGTATGGTGCCGTGTGAATGCTGGAAATATCCAGGGAAGCACTTTGTAAAGTATATGATTGTCTAGTCACTATGTTATACACCTGAAACTAACACAAAATAATATTGAATGTAAATTATAATCGAAAAATAAAACTAAAAAAATGACTTTTCTATCTGAGGGGAAAATCTACAGGAAATAGATAATGCTCTCACCACACACACATACAAATAGCATAGATGCTTTAGAAGATGAATATTTAGACACCATCAGAAAAGTTTAGCAATTGACTACACAGTTCAACATTATCATTATGTTTAAGCACTGTGTTTCTAAGAGAGTTACAGAATTGGCTATGCATACTTTAAACAATTTTACTTGCACTACCAATCCAAAGAAGTGAAGGTCATAAAAATTTGAATAGAACAAATTGGAAGGCACAGTGATGTTTACAGTAGTGGTCGTGTTAGAGCAGGACTCACACTGTCACTGGGACATTAACCATTGGCACGAAACCCTAATGCTGCTTCATTTAACATAGCGCCTTTCATTTACCCACCATTCATTTCTATAGTGCTTCATAACCACCATCATTCTTTATCTTTAATAAAAATAAAACAATGATAATAGCTAACATTTTTCTATTAGATAACTGTGTACTAAGTACAAATTATTTTTTAACATGAAACATCTAATCTAATTATCTCACAGAACTATATAGAACTATATATAGCAAGGTATCATTATTATCCTCTGCCTTTGATATCAGAAATATTAACAGAGAATATTACCAGAAAACTCTCAGAGAATTTCAACAACTTGCCCTGGTCCAACAGCTAAGTAAGAGTAAGCAGGACAGGCAGCCCCTAAATCGTCATACTGGAAAACTTAAACTTGCATGAGGTTATGTGCCAATTATATATATCAATGAAGCTGGCAAAAACCCAGTGAACTTTTATGAATACTGAATATTATTCTTTAAAAAAAACTAATTTACAAAAGCAAAGGCAGTGAATGCCTGGATAAATTCTGATACTTCCACAGGTATCTAGTGGTCAAAGATTAGAATCTAAGCCTGAAAATTCCCCATTCAGTTCTTTTTTAGCACGATGGTAACAATTTAATTGGATGAGAACATCCAGCACTTCTAAGATTATGGAAGGCAGAATAAAAAAGGAGCAACAAAGCTGTTACGAAGGGACTGCTTTATGCGTGTCTGGAGTCAGAGAACACATACCAGTTTTCATTGCAGGCTGTGGGACACGTGGGGCAGTGTTCACAGAAGCGGCCGATGCTCCTGGGGTCGGTGCACTCGCACCTGCCGCATACACATGTGCCTCTGCCACTGCACACTTGGCCCTTTGGGTTGATGCAGTGCTGGGCTGATGCTGATGGGCACTGGCACCGGTCTCCTTCCCAGCCACTGAAGCACTGGCATCTGCCCACTTCGCACTCTCCATGCCCTGTGACAGAGACACTCCAGGACCTAAGTTATTGGGGCCGCCGACACTGGGAAGCTTTTCCAAACGTGAATTCCCCTCCCATCTCCATGGAAACACACGGACAGTCCAGTGAATGGAAATAGCGTCACTTTCTGTTTGTCTGACATAAACAAGCCAAGACGTAGGAATGTCTATTTTCAAAGCTGTTCTACTGGAGATAATCTCCTGATGCTATTGTGTTGTGCTGACAAGCGTGAGGTCCGCCCGGCTGCAGTGCCTGTCTACTTGAAGGTCACTGTACATTCAGTTTTAAATGAAAAAACATGAATATAAAGTTACAAAGGCTGAAGTAATGTTAATTGCCTGACTTAAAAACAGGGTTATCTTATTAATAGCTTCCATAATTTATTCTGTCTGTCTCTCATTATTGCCAAGGGCCTGGGATCAATTTGAAGGTCCGTGAGGCAAACCCTTCTTCTAGTGCTTCAGTTTGGTGAGTGCCATGTTTAAAGATCAGATCTCCAGGAAGTCAGACCAATCTTTTACATTTGCAGGGCATTATGGATCGAGCAGGTTGGCAGGGCCTGTCAAAAGTGGGCTGTGCGCTATTATTACAGGTAGCAAGAGCAAGCAAGGCGGTAGGTGTGCGTGTGTGTTGGTGTTGGGTGCAGACAAGTAAGTTGAGGAAAAGCACTGGTTGTATGTAGTGAATGTGAGACTGCACAGGTGTCCGAAATTTAACATGATAATGAGAACTAGACGGGTACATTTTACAGGGTTATATAGTGCTTCTCAAACTTATTTAGCCACAAACTTCTCCCCCCACCTGCCTTCCCTCCCTCCCTCCCTTCCCTTGCCTCCTTCCCCCTGCCTTTATTGCAGAGCCCCTCACAAGGCTCCTGTTCCACAGAGTCTACTGTTGGATCGGCTCTGTGTGCTAAGTGTAAAGCTAATGAGGTCCAGGCCAAACAAACGCCTGCCAGGCCCTGTTCCCTGTGAGCAGGCTGCTCGGCTAACTCTAGGCAGTCGACCTGTGAACATGTGTTTTTATTCTCCAAGGAGGCTAGTGAAGAAAATGCTTGTCAGCCTACAGATTGCGCTTATAATTTATACACAAATAATTCAAAGCAGGTTCTCAACTGCCTGTGTCAGTAGTATCACAGTTTTATAGAAGAGTGCCACTACATTGATTTTTGATATTTGCTATAAACAGAAACTGGAATTTTCAAGACATTGACAGTTGAGGGAAATGATCTCAGAACTTTTTCTTTTCTCTGTCCCAAATAGGATTAGCTCTGAAACATTAGCAGATAATTACTGGTTTGTTCTAAAGTCATCTATAATCTATTCTACCCATGATAGCAGGTTGAGCTGAATAAATGTTTAAAATATAAAATATTTTGTGTATATAATAGAATAAAAAGGCAATTTGTCATTACATATTTGTGTAATATAGGGCAAATTTTTAGCTTACACAAGAATAGTAATATATCTTATATCATTTTTTACTTTCCATATGCTTATAACAATAAAACATTTGTCAATAATTTAATTGATATTTACTTAACAAAATGCAAAGACTAAAAAGGTATTTTAACAATAAGTGATTAGCACCTTGGCACAGAAAAATTAATTCACTTAAAAACAATGATTTGTATTAATTTTTAAATGCTGCAGATTTTCTGGATTCTAACCTCTAGGTGGCAGTAAACTGAATTAGCCAAAAAGTACTTCAGATGTTTTTGCTTTAAGATTTGGTCTGTGTGTGGCCTCTGGGACTAATCTCTTAGATTACTAATGAAACCAGTTTTTCTTGAAGAATGCTATCTTTTGACAATTTTATGTCTGGTATTGTTCCCAAAATAAACTGGAGAGATTTAAATGACTACAAATATTGAATATCATCTATATAATGCATTAAGAATTTGCCAATGAATGGTAAGTGTATTTTTACAGCTCACTGTCCTCTGAGCAAGCTGGAGGGAGTGGCCACTGATAAGAATGAATCAGATCCTTCTAGAAGAATACCCTGATTGTAGAAATCCTGTCAGACATCATTGGTAATTTCCTTTTCTGGTATATATCTTCACAAAGTCAAGGCATACTTGAGGATAACAATTTTTGGTTTTTATTTTTTAAGAACTTAAAATAGAAACATCAGAATCATGTGATATAAATCTGTTGCTATGCCCCAATTGCACAGACCTTGAAACTCTGAGTATGAAATTCAGGTTCAGGGTTAATAATTATAAAAGATGTGATTTAAAAGTACTTTAACATGTATGCTAGTTTGATAGTGGCTAGTAAAAACTCATGCTTACATTTATATATTTATACTCACCAGCACACAGCTTTCCATGGTGATATGGACAAGAAAAGTCATCCTTTTCACAGTATTTTCCATATACTTTCCCAAGCTTAATTTTGTGACACAAGCATTTCCCACAAATACACACTCCTCGACCGCTGCAAACAGGTTGATCCTCGTGTGACTTGCAGCTCTCTGAAGGAAATTGATCTTCATCAAAGTGACATTTATTCTCTTCACACTGGAAACACTTGGAATCGAGAAAAGTTTCATCTACACACTTCCTTTTAGGTCCTCGGCTGTCATCACACTGACAGCTGCAGTTTCTGTGTATGTGAATTTTAGTGGTTTCATTGAAACCAATAGGTTTGATGATGGCATAGCTTTTTCCTCCTGTGACATCACATTTTTTCATTGTAACTGTTACATTGAAAAGAACCTAAATTTAGGACAGGGAGGAAGAAAACATATATGTCTTGATTATTTTTATTACCAATATTACATTTGTTAATGATATTTTGAATCAACATTCCATCTTACAGAAATTAGTATTTATAAATTATACATGTAATCTTCCATTTGTAGATTTTAATCCCTTTTTAATTTATTTCCTAATTAATGAACTAGAAAGTTAAAGGATGCAATGACTACTACTCACTTATGTTATCCTACTAAATATATGGGGGTTAAAGAGTATTTGAAATGTCTGTTCAACTTTCAATGATTAATACATGTCCTCTGTTGATTTTTTAACAAGCTTGAGAGAGCCTAGGTCATTTTCTGGATTTGGCCTTAACATGGGCGGTTACTGACTATTTGATACTAAGGGTAGGTCAAATAAACTAGCAATAATTAATTTCAAGTATACAACTTGTGGGAGCATCTATACCACCTGCAGATTCTAAATTTACCAGGAGAAAAAATATAGTCAAACTAAAGAGAAAGGAAGATTGTATTTTATTCAATCTTAGGATCTTAGGACCTTTTCATCTTTTTCAATAACTTTTGTTCTTTTTCCTACATCATGACATTAAAATAATTAATAACATCCTATAAGCCTTAGAGATGGAAACAAAAGGGTTTATAAATCTAGTCCACACTGTTCACTTAAATATGGGGCAACTGATGTCTCAAGAGGTAAATGACTCACCGAAAATCACCTTATTCAAGAAGAATTTCCCTTTAAAAGTTTTTTTTTTAATCTGTGTGTTTACTCTCTATTGTGCTGGTCCCAAGGGAATCCCTCTTTCCTCTGGTCCCATTTCCTGAAGCTACTATAATCCGGGCCTCTTTTTTCCACATTCCATCCTTTTTTAGTTAAATGATGACACTTCTTTCTATTGTTTTAACAAATTTCCCTACCTCCTCCTACATCATTAAGAGTGTATTAGGAAAATCTCAAAGTGAAAGATTTTGGAATTTTTAGTCTTTATCAATTGATCCATCACTTTCATTCCTTTCTGTGGCTCATTAACCTTCAGTTTTACATTTGCTCTGAGAATTTTCAGATTTGAAATAAAAGATATTATCATCATCATAAGTATAGACACTACTTATTTCAGGACATGTGATTTCCTAATACATAATGGCCGTGTCACCTAAGTTTAAAGACATTATCATTGAATAAGTATGTAACATAATATTTATTTATTTTAACTTGAGAGTTTGAGAGAACCATCAGTGAAGTTAAAACAAGTAGGAACTTTGCAGAAACAGTAAAAGTTGCTTTGAAGTGTAAATAAGATCCTTGAGTCAGGAGTAAGTAAAGTTTCTCAGAATGGTTTGATTTTCTGTGAGAAAACATGCCAAACAACTTAGTTTACTTGAAATGGGAACCACGCGCACCCACATACTTCGTCGTTGCTTGTCACATTGCCACATCCTTCTGCGCCTGGCCTCCGGGTCCCATCTGGACAGATGGCAGTAATGTTTACATGGATGCCTTTCACCTGGTTTTCCACTTGCACTTTGACTTCTGAAATAAGTTTCTGCAGAAACATCATTTTTAAATTTTATACTATAGCAGTATCAAATGTAAGCAACTCAACAGTGCCAATTTTATTAAATCATTGTAATCACTTAGGTTTAACTAAAAGAGTCTGTCTCTAGAAAAAGATGAATGAAACAGCATTTCCATATAATGACCCAATTATATGTGAAATACATAGAGAATACTGAAGCTTAGACTATTTGCATTTAAGTGCTCTATTTTTAAAGCATATCTCCATGCATTTCTTGAATTTCGATCCCTTCAGAGATAAACCTCACACAGCCTGTGTTTCAAAAATAATCACATATCATCAAAAAGAGTAAATCTTGACAGCTTCAAATCTGAAACATATTTCTCACATTTACAGCTATTAAAGAAACATTTCAGTGTCAAATACTTCAGGCTATAATGAAAGCTAAAATGCCTTATTAACACAGAATTAAAAGGAAATTTATGGGAGGCCACTTCTATACAGTAAGCATAAGAATTACCTGCCAGATATGGTCCTATAAATTGTCCATGAATGGACTAGGGTTTTTGCCAAGTTCCTGAAGCGTGCTTGTGTCAATAAAATCTGTTCCATTTCTTAATACTGAAATAGAACCCCTTACTGAGCAGAAAACCATTTGCTCATTTATGCAATCTTTCAAAAACCATCTATGTAATGCCTATCATGATTTAGGCACACACCAATTTCTTTCATTACAATCATGGACATAGATAACAGTACGGTGATGGCCAGAGAGAAGGGGTGGGAGGAAAGTAGGAGAGGGTAAAATGGGGATAAATGGTGATGGAAGGAGACTTGACTTTGGGTAGTGAACATACAATACAATATACAGATGATGTGTTATAGAACTGTGTACCTAAGACGGATATAATTTTATTAACCAATGTCACCCCATTAAATTCAATAATCAAGAAAGATATTCTAGCTACATTATATACTGTAGATCTGCATCTATTTCATTTCATAAAACTATGAATCTACCACATGTAAATGCCCTTAATATATACTTGTAAACCAAGGAAGGGAAAAGATGACAAGCGTACCTAAGGAAAGAGTGAATAGCAGGGTATGAAGGAAGAATTTCCAATGATGTCTAATTTTTTACCTGAGTAATTTTTCTTCTTCAATTGTATCATCAATAAAGAGATATGTGCTAATTAATAATTTATCATGGAATTATGATAATAAATCTTGAAAGCAAGATGCTTCCTCAACTTAGTAAATTTTATTTGGATTAGGTAAGACTGTGTCAGCCACATTTTTATTTCCCAAAGAACTCATACATTGTAATCACTTAACTGAATGATTTTGGCAAACCAACAGAGACTTCTAATAGTATACAAATAGTGTCGATACAGTGATGGTTTGACAGATCAGAAGGAAATTCCTAATATTCTGAGTGTTCTCAGCCTGGCCTTCTAAAATTTTGCTCTTTGGAAACCTTGAGCTAGTTATACTAATGTGTTTCAAGAAGGGTGTGAAGACAAATAACTAAAATGTGCCTCAGTTTTGGAATTTAGAAGTTAAGCTCCAGACACAAGCTTAAGCTTCTCTTTTAAGATCTAAAAGGTACCGTGGCAGAATCTATTTTTTTATAATGTATTATTCTTTTTCATTCAATGTAATTTATTTTTCCTTTCTTAATTTCAGCTAAATTACTATTACTACTAGAGTTATTATTTTTATATAATTTTAATTCTAATGGCTGTCCCGATATAAACGCTAAAAAGTAAAATGTAATTGCATTCACCATGTGCTAAAATCTTAAAAAGGAGGTGCAAAAAATGAAAAGTTAAAATGAAAATATTTTTCTCCTTTGTTTTTCATCAATGAATTGTGAATTGTTTCTTTTGGACTATAAAGGCAAAGTGAAATTTTGGAAGGATTTAAAAAATATAGACATATATAAAATAATAACAGAATCCCAACTTAAGGATATTAGTTAGCCAAAGTAAGTTTTTGTTGGATATACCAGTATTTTTCCATTGTTTAAGGTTAATTGGGACTGAAATTAGCTAAGGCATTACACACCTATTAGGCAAATAAGGAACATAAAATCATATGCTGCCGTTTTTCTTTTCCTTGGTGCAGTCTTACATACAGTCACATATGTCAATTTCTATTCTTTGGGGTAATAAATGGGTTCATACTACAAAAACTAGAGTGGCTTCTAATACTGGGGGCTCCTTCCTTATTTTAATTATTCCTGGGAACAAACTGTGGATGGGAATGTTATACACACAGTTGATTTTTGTTGATAAGAAGCTCCCCCAGTCCTTAAGTTCCTTTGTAACAGTGAGAAAGAAATATAATTAAAGATGCAATGTATTTTCAGACATAGAACAACTCTTTGGCCAGAAAAAAAAAGAACCTCACAAGATTTGTTTTCCTTTTTTAAAAAACCTCACAAGATTAACTCAAAGGGAATAGTCCCAGAACATGCATGAATGACCCATGGACATGGACCACCGGGTGGGGATTGACTGGGAGTGGGGATGGGCTGGGTGGAGGAGGGCAAAGGGGGAAAAATTGGGACTACTGTAATAGAATAACAACAAAACTTTTACAAAAGTATATATAAAAAACAAAAAAGGAAGTTTAAACAAGTCCTTCATTTTCTGTCCTCTGACTGCTTTCGGCCCGTCCCTGTTGTCCCCGAGCTGAAGGCGGATGTTGCGTGGAGACACTGCGAAGAGAAGCCTGAGGTTTCTCACAGCGCTTGGGCTACTGCTTCCCTGTTCAACTCTATTGTGTCAGAAAGGGAATCAGAGAAATTTGGGGAGTGAGACTTTATTAATGCCCCATAAATTCAGGGTCGAATAAAGCACATCTTTGGAGAGTATGTAAAATATAAAATCCAAAACAGGTGGTATCACCTGGTCCTGGCATTAAGGAAGATCTGGGTTCTGTTCCTGCTTCTTCTGCTTGTTAGTTGTTTCACCTTTGGTTAATGTGCTTAGCTTCTTTGGGGTTCTACAAATACACAATGGGAATACTATCACCTGCCTTATGGGTCAGTTGTGCAGATTAAATGAGGTCGTGTATGGAAAGTAACTGGCTCTTAGTGGAATTAAAGTAACAGTGACTATTGTCATAACACCCTAACAGAGAATTCTTTCCAGGGATGGCCTAGGTTGAAAGAGCAGACGTTTCTCTAAACCGTGGCATTTGACACCCACTCTTCACAGACTGGGGACAGCATACAACTATCAATAAAATAATATATCTCTTAAGGTGATTCTTTTAATAAACTAGTTCTATAAAACTGCTAAAATAACTGATTGAATATTCGAGTGATTCATTTAGGAAACCCCAACAGAGTCCTCTTAGTAATCTCTACATCCAAGGTAGATCATTTTACCTGACAGATTGCTGCTTGAAACAGCAGTATAATTTCTTATTTATCTTGGAAAGATAAAGTCGTTCATACATGTTCTGGGACTATTCCCTTTGATATTTATCTTATTTATCTTTTACATAGGAAATTGTGAAATTTCTTGGCCATAAGGTATAGTCTATAGCTGTGATTTGGTGACTCATGGAATATTTGATGTGGAAGGAGATTTAGATTGCCTGTAGCCCCCGGGCTTACTGTCAGTGAGATACTGGCAGAGGGCTGAAATGGCCTTTCCCCAAGGCCCCATGGCTAGTGAGTGGAAGGGCTGAATTAGGTTCTTCAGCCCAAATGTTATGTTCTTTCCACCACCCTTTCAAGACAATAGGGCACTGGTTTGTACCTTGCCATAGAAATTGGGGTTAAAAGTTTATTCTAAAAATTATGTGAAATATATGTGCACATACCTGATAGGCTTCTACTACCAAATTATTGAGGTTTGCAGCCTTTGATTCTATTTCACCAGCAATGGTGCCAGGCAAGAGGGGTAGAAGGTCCTAAAAAAACATACCAATAACATTTAATGATAATTGTATGCTATGGTTCAGCAATCAACAAACAGTAAAAACTCTTGTAGTTACCAGTGGAAGGTGACATGAATCAGAAAAGATTAGAGAAAAGAGAAATGTATGCAACCAGCTAGGGCAGCTAAAACATGAAATGGTAGTGTGTATGTGTATGTGCAAGAGAGTGTGTGCATTGCACAAATGACATGCTGCCCCCCAAACCTAGTCAAAGCACAGACCGGCATTTCCCAGAGTATCTTCCATGGAACATAGTCTCCAGAGGTTTTAAATATGAAAGGATTCTAAGGGCAGATAAGTTTGCCAAGTTCTATGCATGGTTTCTTCCACTTAGTGACTCAAAATGTATACTTTCAAATTAAAGGTTCAGAGAAGTCCTGCAATTTAGAAACAATGTAGCATTATTTAGTGCAGTATTTCTCAACATTTCTTTAATTACAAAACTGTTTTCTCATATAACAGCAAATATAAACATTTTGTAGAAAGACTGTTCTGTGGAACAAGCTTGATCACATGTTGGCCCAGACTGGAGAAAAAAATCAGTCACAAGTGGAAGCTTCGTGGAGCAACTGTTCTTGAGGGATGTTCTTAATTATTGAATAAGGATGGAGAAGACTCCAGGTATTCCTAGTGAGAAAAAGCATTAGTGGAGGCTTAAAGGTTTACGTTAGATGAAATGAGAACAGAGAACAAACCAGTCTGGGTAGTTGTGAAGGATGTGTAACTGACATGAAATCAGATGCTGAGGTCTCGGAATCCATTTGTGCACTCATTTTTGTCATTCACAAGCATCGTTAAGTTCCTGCTGTGTGCCAGCTGACACTTAGACACTAACCTCTTGGTATCTCAGGTAACAGGGAAAATGTATCTCTTACTGATTTTTTAAAACCCATTTATAAAACCTTTGTTAAGCACCTATTGGGACCACGTTGTAGATGCTCAATCACTAGACCACTTAGTTTCCATTTTTATGGATCCCCCTGGTACATAAATGACAATTTCAAAAAAACAATGTATAGCCAAGCAATAGAAAGAATGTGTAGACCCTAACGAGAGGGATACCCAGTAAGCATCTGATGGCTGGGGAAGGTTGTCAGGGACTGTTTCCTGGAGGTGACACATGAGCTGTGCCTTGTAGGATGCGTAAGAGTTAGCCAGGTAACGAGGGAGGAGGGAGAAGGGCTTCCAGGCATGGTGGGTACTTAGCAAGAACATTGGCACAGAGGGGAGAAAGGGTTTGGTGAGTGGTGTGCACAGGATCAGAAGCAGGGCTGGAGGGACACGTGTGAGGCAGAGAGCAGTAGGGGATGTGTCCAGAGAAGCAAGCAGGGACCAGATGGTCTCTTAGGCCACATTAAAGACTTGATCCTCTAGATCAGAGGGGACTCTGGGAACATTTGACTTGAGGGAGCACTCTGCCTACACTTTTGATTTCAACAGATCATCCTGCCTTGCAGCCAGGTGGATGATGGATTTGGGAGATATGTTAAGAAGCTATTACAACTCAGATGAAGGCGGCTGATAAAAATGTCTCTGGGCGGCTAAAGTAGGCGACTATAAGAATACACGCAGGACCAGAGCAGAGCTTGTCAGGTGCTCAGAACCTGTTGATTCTTACTTTGCACACAGCTCAACTAACAATAAGCCTGCCTGGTTTTATAGTTTACCAGGCAGTGAAATTCTCTTTTTAGAACAGAGCAGGCAGAAACTGCTAGAACCAATAACACCATCAAGAAATACTAAAATAGTGGTCAAAGAGGCAAAAGCAATAAAAGCGGCATAAGGAATATAGTCGGTAACATTATAGTAAGTATGTACAGTGCCAGATAGGTAATAGTCTTATCGGGGTGATCACTTTGTGAGGTACATTCAAGTCCTTTCCATTATTTTCACAGTACCACACTGAGTTTTAGTGCCCACACTTGGCTCTAGGTCCTAGGGATAGAATTTATACGTAAATGCTCACTCACGATACTGCACAGTGTACATTAGCTAATACAGCATTCAGCTTCAATCATACGAAATACAATAACTCTAGAATTCTTACTTGGGATTTTAAGAAGTATTTTCATTTCAACTACCAAGGCGAACATTTTAATTTTTGCATTTTGGGAATGCACATACCTTATACCAATGAAACTGTTTTCCTTGAACTGCAAAGATGACATTAATGTTGTTGTCTATTAACTTTTCCGAGAGTTGGCCTAGTGAGGGATGTTCCTGTGAATGGGTGATGAAATAAGGAAGAGAGTGAAATTGAGTAGCTCGATCCCACACATACGCAAACATTTCTTGAGGGGGAAAACTTATGACTCACATGAAAATGTGTTTTGTTGTTGGGAAGGGTTATGGTTTTACTAGAGACATTAAACTTCTTTAAAAAATAAGATCAACACTAATGCATTAAGGAGTTTTAATAGATAGAAGCTCCATGACAACGTATATCTCAGAAAAATGAAAAGTGCTGAAGTCAACATACTATGGAGTGTTCAGCACCCCTTTAGGTTCATGTGGGGATCAAAGTGATGGAAAGATAATGTGGTACTCAGAAACAGACTCATTTGGGATAATCAAATTCTGCGGCAAAATTCATTAAAAAGTGTTGAAAGGCAAGTATGAGCACACATATACACTCACACACATACATACATATATACATTTGATATGTAACGTGATATAGTATGAACTCTGTTTAAAACCAGAAAATCCTGTACTCAAATCCCAGGTTGTCACTTTATGATAAAAATTCTACCTCGGGCCCATCCTCTCTAACACATGAATGGTATCTGCTTTCCGTGATTGCCGGCAAAATGAAGAAGGTAACATTAGTATGTGAACCATTTAGTGCAGTTTCAGGGTAGGTGCTCAAAACTGGTGTCAATGATCATGATTTGTACTCCCCTCAGCTTACACAAGGTGCAGAGTACAGATCTCTCAAGTTACTACCATTCTGCTGAACTTTTCTGTCATATAGATGTATATTTTTTAAATCTGTTTTACTTTGATAAATAAAGCTATGTAGAGCCAACTGTGTCATTCTTTGTAGTAGTGAAAAAGCTTGGGATGAGTAGAAGGAGAATAAAATGTAGTAAGTATGAGAAATCTGACAACTTGGAAATTGCTGTATCTAAAGTTACATAGTTAGATACTGTACTTGATATTTTTTCTTTCTACAGATGCTCTTCTAGGAAAAACTAATAATCTCGTTTGACAACTTCATTCTAGATACCTCTCCAAGGGGTGATGTCGAACTTTACCTGCACTGGTCGCCACCTGTCCCTTGGTGCCTGGTCACATTAGGCAAAGGCCATGCTGAGCCTAATTAGTATCATGTGATTCACGTTCAAATTACGCTGTAGTTTTTACTCCCCTTTCTCCTCCAATGCTAATTGTTTTCTTAAGGGAAATTTCGCTAAACCATCTTGTCTGACTTTTCTGAATTTTAGCAAATATGTGGACTTATTAAAGAGCTAATCTTATTAGTTTTGGTTATAGCCTAAGTTCTGTGACCCAGATATTAAATTTATATACAAGATATAAGAGATAGTCTTGTGCTTAAAGATATTATCACTAACATGAGCAAGTGCTGTGATCTGAATGTGTCCCCTCTCCCCAAATTTATATGTTGAAACCCTAACCCCCAAGGTGATGGTATTAGGAGGTGGGCACTGGGGAGATGATTAGGTCATTAAGGAGGAGACTTCATGAATGGATTGGTTCCCTTACACAAGAGGACCAGTGAAAGAAGCTCCCTCCCCCGTCCACAAGTGAGGTTACAGCTAGAACGTGTCATCTGTGAAACAGAAAGTAGGCCCTCACCAGAGCCTGAATCTGCCAGTGCCTTGTTCTTGAACTACCCAACTTCCAGAACTGTGAGAAATAAATTTCTGTTGTTTATAAGACACCCAGTTTATGGGTTTTTTTGTTGTTGTTGTTATAGCAGCCCAAATGGACTCAGAAAATAACCATAACAAATATGCTTTTATTTTTATATAATCTATAATTGCTGTGGTATAAGCAAATCAAATTTTTGTGGCCTGCATTTAAATATGATATGAAACCAATTTATGAAGAAGGCTTAAAAATATTACCACATGGGTTTCCATAAGAAACATTTTACCCAGAGCAATTCTTAAAATATAATTTTAAAGTAATAGAAAAATAATCCCCCAAGTATGAATTCTACCAGATAAATTCTTATTCCTTGTTCCTAACAATATATATACTCTTAAAATAGATTTATGACAGTTTGCACGAAGCTGGGAAGTTTAAAGAGAACGAGGAAGGGTACATCCAGCTGTATCTGAAATATTTTTTAATGGCAACAACTACTTTTCATATATTGGTGCTTTTACAAAAAATAATCACAATTTGCCAAGTATTCCCTCTTGTTAATTTTTCAAACCATTCATATTGTAAGGGTAATTTAATCCATATGTTTTTAACCAGCTTATACTTAACTCACATAAAATCAATATTTAAACAACAGTCCAAGATGTAAGCAGCGTTTAGAGCCTTCTTAATCTCTTTCCCCTTTCAAAAACAGGAAATCACATTGACCAAAAGTACACAAATTTTAAATCTAGAAAGTTCTAGTTCAGTCAGAAGCTCATTAAAAAAAGGTCAGTGGATTTTTAAGCTTAAAAGAACACATTTTTTTCTGAACCATAGAAAGACATCTGTTTTAGAGAAAATTCCAAGTACCTTGACGCAGATTTGTTAAAATTACAAATGTCTAACAGATGTTTAAATAAACCACGTTGACAGGAGAGCTGTGGATTAATGACCATTGTTGAAACCCCTTCCCCTTCCCCCCCTGAAGCACATTATCCTTTAAGCATTTTATCTTTTATGTCTTGTATCTCCCTAGCAGGAACACTCCCTCTCAGCCAGCTGTTCTCGTGACGTCACTGCTCCTCATCCCTGACTCCCCCTTTGTCTAACCCACTACATATTGTTGCTCTAAACTCTGAAAATAATTAATAGAGATAACAGGCATTCCAGGAAGAAGGGGAAGCAAAGTGCCAAGACAGCTGCTATGTAATTAAAGGCAAAGGATTCCTTTCACATTTTTCTTCTTCACTAACACCTTCGCTGTGACTTGTGGGAAATAACTTAAAAATGTCCGAAGGGAAGAGGAGTTAAAGATTCACTGACAGCAATTTTGGTTGAAGAGATAACTGTGTAGAAATGTATGGGAGAATTTTAATAATGTGCATATGCAATGGTGAAAAAGAAATGTTTAGGATGTTAAGACTTCATAAAAGTAAGGATAAAAAAATATTTTGTAAAATAATATAGACTTTGTAGTACTGAATATCATAATATGCAAAAAAATCCCAATGTATTCATTAAAGTATTCAGTTATCTGGATTATTTTTTTACAATTCACTTTTTAGAGGAAAGAGACAAATAGCATGAAAGCAATCCTATAGCAGATTTATTTAGAGTTGAAGGCTTTATGTGTTTTCAGCTTATGTTCTATGTACATGACTACACAGCAGTAATTGCTTGGATCAGGTTTTCTTATCAGTGCCACTATAGACATTTGAGAGCCAGGAATGCTGTGCTGTGGTGGGGGGGCCTGTCCAGTGTAGTGGGATATTTAGCAACATCCCTAGCCTCTGTATACTAGATTCCAGTTTCTCCCCCTTCTGCCCGTTGAAACAGCCAGAATGACTCTGGACACTGAAATGTCCTCTGGGGGGCAAAATCGCTCCAGCTGAGAACCATAGGAAGAGCAGGGGCTCCAAACACAGACCACTTGGGACCTCAACTCCTGGCTCTGCAATTACTAGCTATGTAACACCGGCCAGCTGTCTCAAACTCTCTGTGATCCAGTTTCCATATGTATAAAATAGGTGCAAATACTAGTATTGACCTCTCAGAGTGCTGGTGGGGAGTAAATGCGTTAGCGTGTGTAAAGGCTTTACTTACCAGTCTGTAATTACTAAACTGAGATTAGTGGTGAGCAGGAGCTCACGTGCTGATGTCACACTGCTTGGCATTTACCATGGCAATACTCTGTAGGGCTGTGTGACCACACGCAAGTTCCTGCTCCCTTTAGTGTTTCTATTTTCTCACATATAAAAGGGAGGTGATAGCAGTATCTACACCTCACTGGGTTGTTGGGTGGTATTACATAAATGTAAGGGACAAGCACCATAGGACTGCCTAATAAAAGACAGCTTTCAACAACAGACTTAATCTAATGAACTTGGAGGCCATTACTAAAGGCTAGAGGTTGGGCTCTTGCATATGCTTTATTTGACTTGCCTGACTTAGGTATTTACCCTAAGCACCTGGCTTCTGAAGTGTTTGAGTGTGTGCCTTCTATCCAACACAGTATCAGTGGTAACCATGATATCCTAGTTACCGAAGGGACCGAGGGGCATGGACTGATAATTTCTGCAAGCTTTTCAATCAGTGGGAGTGGTCAGAAAAAGTTCTGTGCTAGCCCTGGCTGGTGTAGCTCAGTGGATTGAGCTCGGGCTGTGAACCAAAGCATCGCAGGTTCGATTCCCAGTCAGGGCACATGCCTGGGTTGCAGGCCACGGCCCCCAGCAACTGCACATTGATGTTTCTCTCTCTCTTTCTCCCTCCCTTCCCTCTCTAAAAATAAAATCTAAAAAAAAGATGCTTTAAATAAAAAAAAGTTCTGTGCTTACATGTGAACTGAAACATATCATTTAATTGGAACATTCCGTTTCATAAATATTTTCATCAAATTTTGTTTTCATTGTGTCACTTTATTTAGCAAACCATTATTTGTTCTCAGCATCAGGGCCATTGTATCAATAAAAGCAGTGCTAGTCTAAGTCTGGCCCAGGCAATTCTGGGTGCAACTTTTGCTTTGAATTAAAAAAAAAGAAACTAAATATTGTTTTCAGAAATCATTTCCTGGCTATTTGGCTGCTACCATGAAAAGCATTCAAATTAGGTCTCACCTGAAGTTACTGAGGTCAGTGTTGTTCGCATGGCATTTACCATTTAAAACAGATCGTTCACAGAGCAGCTGATACCAGGCATTGTGCTGGTTTTAAAAGTTGTGTTTTTAAAAACACATACATATGGGCTTAAACATTTTTAGGTACGTTCCGCCTAGGTGACATTTCCTTTATTTTCCCAATTTTGCATGTTCCTAAAGCCCCAAAGTGCCAACACTGTAAACAGATCTTATCTCTTTAATTAATTGAAAAAGTTATATTTTTATGCAATGT